GGAGATATCATTCTGTGTTTAATTAAGGACATTGCAGCTGAACTATCAGCTCTTATAGGGATGTTATATAAATACTAGCACCACTTTCCAATCAGACTCCTTTATAAAGAGAGAAACTAACTAATGGTGTTACAATAAATAATAAATATATAATTGACTATATACTATCAGTTATGATCCTTTAATAAGAACAGCTGTTGCCTTCCCAGGTTATGATAAGTCCCTTTCTCTTGTCCTAAATTTGCATTTTATTTCAGCCGTCCTTGCAATAAATAGTTACCCTCAAAAAGACAACTTTCACTTGTGACATGGTTCATAATGTTGCCACATGCTGGAGTTCTGTCTTTGCAGGTCTGATTAATACGTTATACACAGCGGTGTCGCACATTAGAAGTTCCATTAAGATATTACGGTTTAAATGGAGGTACACAATTAAACAAATGAAACAAACCAATTCAACACTGTTATATCATTCTGACATGTCGTGGGGAGGGTGCTGCAGTTCTTAACTCAAGAGGAGAGTTCAAAGAAAGCATTAATAACTATGGGGAGGGACTTTTACAAAGTTAAACACAAGGATCAGCCTCCATCACCACCCCAATAATATGTGTACAATCCCTTGGTAAGTTGTTAATATATGAGTTTTTGTCCAGATTTGTCCTGTTTTAGAAAAAGGTTGCAGAACAGCTGTATGAAAAAAGAATGTATTACCAACTTGTTAAACTTTTATTTATACATTACCCACATTCATAACTGCATTATTGGAAAGGATAAATACCAACCAAAGGAATTTGTTTTCACAGCCTGGCAGCCCTTTAAATGTGCTGTTCTTGATTATAATTGGTACATGAAGCATTAATAAATGGGGTTATAAAGGATGCAAAGTAGCAGCATTGGACCAAACGATAAAATGAAGATAACTGATGGATTTGTTGCAGGCAGCAGCAACATTAAGTCCGATCCACCAGCTCCTTCTTTCAGTGTGAAGCATTGTGAGAGCCCATTCTGTCCACACTGCAGGCGGAGAGGGTCCACTGAAGCGCAGTAATAATGTGCTCTCTGTGGGGCCGCGTGAGAATCATCCTGTTTATTCTCATTTCTTTATGTGTTTAGAGTACACAGCACTCTGACGGTATTCTAATACCGCTCAGCATTCTCTCACACACATACACACAGAGCAATCAAAAGCAAATTACACTATGTTGAGTCTCGCCTCCCGGATTAAACCCCCCTGCGTGCGCACGTGCGCGTGCGTCGCGGAGACAGGGAGACTTTCTTACAGTGTTTGACGGGCGTTTGCCACCCCCCAAAGCAAAGCTGTCATCTGAAGGACCTTTAAAAAAAATAATCTCTCACGTGATCACCGTGTCAATCTTGCCAGTCTGCACGCGAGTTCAACAATAGCAGAATTAGAGAGAGTCTCCAAAATCCCCTCTATTCTTCACGGGGCATATTAGCATTTTCTTTAACATATATAAATATATCTTTAGAGGATCCCCCTCCTCACCCTCCCTCTCCTCCTTTCTTTCTTTTCTCCTGCATTGTGGTCCCATTTGCTCTAGTGATCGCCGGGTATTTGGGGTCTGGAGCCGGTCGCCCGATCCCTGCCTCTTGTTGGGGCTTAAGTCATTGAGATGGAAATAGGCGATTTGGTCTCTTTTGTCCACCAGATAAGCGGTGGAAGGCGAAAGTGGGTAGAGGGAGCAGGAGGGTGAGAAAGGAGGGATGTAGGCTATACGTGTGTGTGTGTGTGAGGAGGGGGTGTCTAAGATAATCGATCAGAGCGCTGAACACCCCCCCCTCGGTCCCTCACGTCCCCCTCCCCTTCCCCTCTCAGCTAACCTTTGCTTAACTCGCGTGCCATCACAAGCACAGAGTCCTAATTGGTTCCCAGCACTAATTATCCAATTATCGCCTCTCCACCGGAGAACCGCACTCCAGGGCCCGTCTGGGTAATGGCCTCATCTTCTACACTATTGATGAAAATGATTAGGACTGAATCAGCTCCAGAGTGCAACACTTGAGAAACTTGTGTCACGGCCCCTGTTTAGAGGTCTTAAAGAGAGGATCGCACTTCACTTACACAGGCTTGATGCGCCCATTCAACCTGCATTATTCCTTAACTATTATAGAAAATTGAATACATGATAAAGTGGTGTGCGGGTTAATTAGGCCCTTTGTGTGGCCGTTAAGGTAAAAAATAGAGGTTGTTGGCTGAGACTCTGTGGCTGGCACTCCAGTTAAGGTCATAATCTTCTATGCAGAGTAAGTGTTTGGTTCAGAAAATGTTGTTTTTTAGAAGCTAAAAGTGTCAATGTATTTAAAAGTAGTTTCTATACGTTTCTTTAAGGGAAATGTTTCACTTTGCAAAAAAGCAAATTCCTCCCGGGGTTATTATTCTTATGTTGTATATGAGAAATTATTAATCGATTAGTTGATCTACTATTTTGACAATTCATTCATATTTTGAGACAATCTTTAAGCAAAACTTTTGCTAGTTCCAGTTTAGAATTTGATGCCTTTCTTAATATGATAGTTAACTATATATATAGGTTTATATTTTGGTTTTAGACTGTAGGGCAGACAAAATATAACATGTGAAGATGTCACCTTGCTCTGAGAGGTTGTGATGAGCACTGTTATGCTGCTATTTTCTGATACACACTGCGATTAAGCGATGAATTGATCAAATAGTTGACAAATTAATCGATAATAAAAACAACTGCTGCAGCCTGAATATGCCCGAAAGTTGTAGCAATATAACAGTGTTAACTTGGTACAACTTGTTTACTGCCTTTTGTACCCAAATATAATAACTTAGTTAATATCTTGAAAGTGTTAATTGATTAGTAGCCTACGTCTCAATTAAAGATTGTGTATGAAACTGCACCAAACTGCCGTGTAAATCTGCTTGCTTTAGGAAAAACAACATAGGCTAATTGATAATCTAGAATAGAGATGTCTGCAGACTATTGCGCATTCCGATTGCTCCATCAGGGGACCAATAGTCTGCATGTAATACTGCAACAGTCAGTGAACTGCAGCGAGCCAGATCTGAATGGAGCAGCAGGCATGGACTGGCACCAGAGTGCCACCAGATTGATAACGTCCAGTTACATTAAACATTTATTCTCTTTTCCCCATCTCTTTTTCTTTTAGTTAACTTCTGCTCCGATCCATCACCTTCCATCCCATCTGTCGCTGATAGC